AGCCGCCGCGCTCCGGGGTCCCCGCGCCACCGGAGCCCAGCCCGGGCTGGCGCGGCTGCATCGGCCGCACTGCAGCGCTGACGTGGCTCTCGCCATTTCCCTCGCATGGCCGCTCCGGCCCCGCCGATCCCACGGGGAAGGAAAAGGCTGTTCCCTCTCCTGCTGGAGCTGCCCGCTCCAGGATCCCACCCCGCTCTCAGTCTGGGGGTCCCGGATGGCACTCGGGGCTCAGCTCGGTTCGGTGTTGGCTGCTGGTCCTGGCAGAGCTGCTGCCGGTTGTGTTTGTTGGTGTTTATGGAATGGGTGTTCCGGGAGGGGGGTCCTTACACCCCCTCAGATTCCCCGCACCTCACGTCACCTCTGGAATGGAGTTACAAATGATGTTGTGACAGTGTTTTGGGTCGCTCGAATCACCGGCAAAAGCAGGTTTAATGGCAGAGTGAAAGTGCAACAAAATCCACTTCCCTCTATGACTCGGTAGTGAAACCCGACAGAGGAAAATGGGGCTAAAATTTAAAATCGATCGGTATAAAACTGAACTTGGCCAAAAATCACCTAAGGGGAGGCTGGGGATGGGAAAAAAACAACAAGGATAAAATGGAATTGTGGATACTAAATGAAAAAAACAAGCAGGGAACAGAGCCCGTGTGAAACTGAGTCACACAGGCTTCTCACTCTGGCCTGGGAAAGCATGAGAAAGAATCCAAACAATCCGTGGTAAAGGATAACATGGAATAATAATTGAGGTCCTTCCTCTGAGTCAGAAGTGGCAGAGTGGACCCCCTGCCCCATTGTCAAACTGAGCTCTGGGCTTGACCAGCAGTTTGAGCCTGAAGGTTTAAGAGCACTGAATCCAGAGCTTAATTTAAATAATTTACCCACAGATTCATATAGAATTTACTACAGGCACAATAGTAACACACAGCTCTATTTTATTTAATAATCTAAAGTGCCTAACAACCTGAGAGCAACATTCCTAACACATTTGCTATAGAATATTTACCCTTAACACATACCTGAAGAGCGTGTGTGAGCACCTGTGAAAAATCCACCTTGATTTCAGTACTGACATCAATGCCTTTGTGTCTTCTCAACAGGCCAAGAGTTGAGCCCGCAGTTCTGGGGGATCAGCCCAAGCTCTGTTGTTCATCTTCCAAGAATCCCAAATTTGTGTGTTCACTGCCTGCTGTGGTCCAGGTGAGTTCAGGGGGTCTCACTCAGGACCTGCTGGTTATAACATTGCAAGTGTTGGCATTTTAGTCACCCTCATTTTCTATCCTGGCCACAATTTGGATCTTCCTTTGAAAGATCAATAACAAATATGTTGTGGCATATGGGCTGCTCCTTAAAAATCAAGGAGTTGGTTTAGCAGCACAAGCTCCTGGGAGCTGACAGTGTGGCTGATAAGCTCAGGGGGTTTGGCCCAGGTACTGCTCATCAAGGCCCAGCCTGAGCTCACAGTGCAGAAGGGGGAGGGGTGCACCACACAAATGAGGGTCCCAGGGGCCCCCCCAGCTGCAGCACCTGCTCGAGTTTCACTCTGCGTTCAACTTCCCCTTCATTATTTATCCGTGTGTGGAGCCGTGAGGGGCAGGGTGAAAGGACAGCGCAGGGAGGGCAATGAGGCTCCCCTCGTTCAGGGGGCTGCTACTACATTTCTCCTTCCCCCCCAGTGGCTGGAACCAGCGGGGACCTCATCCCTGGAAGAGCCAGAGGAACTTAAGGACACATTGTGGTTGTTGTTGGGGTAAGCTCATGTATCCCCAGACACGGAGCTGGGTGAAGGGAACCCTCTCATCCCCAACACTCCCAGCTGTGGTGGGCAGAGCACCCCCTCCCCATCCCCAGGGCAATGCAGCCCCTCTCCCCTGCCCAGGAAGAGGAGATAGAGGTGCTAAAGACTTCTGCCAGACAAGGAGGCTTCAGGGATCTCCAGCCCACCCAGAGGAGTTAAGGCCCCCAGTGTGCTCATGTGGTGACTAACCACATGACTTGACTCCTGGTGCTAAGAGAGGGTGCAACCCTCTCCCCTTCCCCAGCCCTTGGGGTGGGGGCACAGCAGCAAGGCCAGCAGGATGAGGATGGGCTTGGGAGGGTCTGCGGGGTGCTGAGCTCACCACAACCCCCAGCACAGGCTCAGGAACAGGGTAGAGACCCTGGGTACAGGCAGAGACTGCAGGGCTGTGTCATGTGCTGGTGGGGACATTGCCACAGGGAGTGAAGACACCAGAGGCAGGGTAAGACAGGGAATGCTTTTTATTCAGACCCACAGGAGAGGACGGGTGAGTCCGTCACACACTTTCCATTGAAGCACAAACCATTGACAGGACAGACTGCGGTGCACACACTGCTACAGACCCCGCGGGGTCATCAACTAGTTTATGTTCCCTGTTCAAGCAGCACCCTTGAGAGTTTTAGTATTCCTCCCCTTCTTCCTCTCCCTCTCCTTCCACAGAATCCACCCCAACCTCCTCATAATCCTTCTCCAGGGCAGCCATATCCTCACGGGCCTCCGAGAACTCCCCTTCCTCCATGCCCTCCCCCACGTACCAGTGCACGAACGCCCGCTTGGCGTACATCAGGTCAAACTTGTGGTCCAGGCGGGCCCAGGCCTCGGCGATGGCCGTGGTGTTGCTCTGGTGTTGCTCAGCATGCACACGGCGCGCTGCACCTTGGCCAGGTCGCCCCCGGGCACCACCGTGGGGGGCTGGTAGTTGATGCCCACCTTGAAACCGGTGGGGCACCAGTCCACAAACTGGATGCTACGCTTGGTCTTGATGGTGGCGATGGCGGCGTTGACATCCTTGGGCACCACGTCCCCGCGGTACAGCAGGCAGCACGCCATGTACTTGCCGTGCCGTGGGTCACACTTCACCATCTGGTTGGCCGGCTCGAAGCAGGCGTTGGTGATCTCGGCCACCGTCAGCTGCTCGTGATAAGCCTTCTCAGCAGAGATGACCGGGGCGTAGGTGGCCAGAGGGAAGTGGATGCGGGGATAGGGCACCAGGTTGGTCTGGAATTCTGTCAGGTCGACATTCAGGGCTCCGTCAAAGCGCAGAGAGGCCGTGATGGAGGACACGATCTGGCTGATGAGGCGGTTCAGGTTGGTGTAGGTGGGCCGCTCGATGTCCAGGTTGCGGCGACAGATGTCGTAGATGGCCTCGTTGTCCACCATGAAGGCACAGTCGGAGTGCTCCAGGGTGGTGTGGGTGGTGAGGATGGAGTTGTAGGGCTCCACCACGGCCGTGGACACCTGCGGGGCCGGGTAGATGGAGAACTCCAGCTTGGACTTCTTGCCGTAGTCGACAGACAGCCGCTCCATGAGCAGGGAGGTGAAGCCAGAGCCGGTGCCACCACCAAAGCTGTGGAACACCAGGAAGCCCTGCAGCCCTGTACACTGGTCAGCCTGCAAGGCAGGAATAGGAAAACAAGACCAAACTGTCAGTAACTCTGAGCTTCAGCTGCTACAGACTTGCCCAGGAAGGCAAATATTCCTCACAGGATGGCAAATGTTTGTCCCAGGATCTCAGGCCCTGTCACTCAGTATGAGCAGGTCCAGGAAAGGGAACCCCTTCCTGCAGGGATTTGGGGACACTCAGCAGAGACAAGGAGGAGCATGTCTGTTCCAGGCAGCAAAGTTGCTCCTCTCTGTGGTCCTTCTGTGGCCATGTGAGGACATTATTAGGGTGTTCCAGCACCACAGCAGGAACCACCAGAGTGGCGGACAAGGTGGCCCTGACCTTACGTGCTGGACACTGACATTGGATACCCCAGCTCTTGGGAGACAGCCAGCAGGCTCTGGAATAAATCAACCACAGCCTCACCCCCTCTTTTTCCAAGGGGGTGCAGCAGGAGCTTATCCCACAAGAGCCCACAGGCAGCCAGCTCAGCCTTTGATGTGCCAGGAGCTCCCCGAGCAGAGCCGGTGGCGCAGCAGGTCCGGCCACCCCGGCGCCAGCCCCAGCGTGAGAACCAGAGGTTCAAAGAGCCTGGGCAGCCACACCAGTCAAACCAGTGCTGCACCAGCACCCAAAGCATCTGTCCTGGCCCCCCTGCCCTGGCCATGGGGCTTCCCACCCTCCTCCACTTGGCAAAGCTTAGCACTAGGCTAGGATAGGGGCAGCAGTTCCCTCCTGGGACAGCCCCACCCTCTGGCCCAAAGTGCTGATGGACTGAGAACGACCTGCTCAGGGACACCTGGAGCTTCCCAGTGTCCCCACATCCCCCGCAGGGATGGAGCCACCCCAGAGACCCCACAGGACACTCACCAGCTTGCGGATGCGGTCAAGGACCAGGTCGATGATCTCCTTCCCGATGGTGTAGTGCCCGCGGGCGTAGTTGTTGGCCGCATCCTCCTTGCCCGTGATCAGCTGCTCGGGGTGGAAGAGCTGCCGGTACGTCCCCGTGCGCACCTCGTCTGCGGGGACAGCCCCGGGCCCCGTTAGCAGCCAGCGCCCGCCGCCAGCGCCCGCCCCGCCGCCCGGCCCCCGCCCGCCCGCTCACCGATCACCGTGGGCTCCAGGTCCACGAACACGGCCCGGGGCACGTGCTTGCCGGCGCCCGTCTCGCTGAAGAACGTGTTGAAGGAGTCGTCCCCCCCGCCGATGGTCTTGTCGCTGGGCATCTGCCCGTCGGGCTGGATGCCGTGCTCCAGGCAGTACAGCTCCCAGCACGCATTGCCGATCTGCACGCCCGCTTGGCCCACGTGGATGGAGATGCACTCGCGCTGCGGGGGACACGGCTCTGGCTCACCCCTTTTGTCCCCCTCCCCAGATCTGGCACCCGCCCATCGCTGTCTGGGCTGTCACCGGGTTGGGATGGGCCCCTCCCCACGGCTGGATGGGGCCAGATCCTGGCCGGACACAGCCATTGTTCGTGGTCTGGAGGTGCAACCAGAACAGAGGGTCCCATCCTGTCATGCGCCCATCACCTCTGGCACCCTGTCTGTGGGGGATGGGGAGCTCTGCACTTGTGGCTCATCCTGCCCTGAGGGACTGGGACTGTGCCCATGGTGAGCCAGGGAGCCCCGGGGGTGTCCTGCCCCACCCTGCCCTGGTGAGACCCAACAAAGCCCCAGCGTGGCTCAGCACCGGCGACTCCTCCTGCCCAGCCGGGTCCCAGTCGGAGCAAAGCCACACCCAGTGCTGGACTGGGGGGACCCCATCCTGCCGTGCTTCGATCTCTGGTGCGGGATGGGGTGCTCAGAGCTGGGGGGGGGCCATTCCCCCCTGCCCACCCCTCACCGGGGACTCTTTCTGCCTCTTTAAACCGGGGCCACACCCAGCACAGGCTGAGGGCTCAGCACCGGGGTGGGGGGAAAGCGGGGTCTGTCCTGCCCGGTTTAACGGGAGCCACGCCCAGGGACGGACGGTGGCTCGGTACCGAAAGATGGGGGTTCCGATCCTGCCCCTTTTCAACCGGTGCCACGCCCAGTACGGGCTTAGCTCCGGGAACCCATCCTGCCCGGTTTAATGGGAGCCGAATCTGGTTCAGGCTCGGGATTCGGTCCCGGGGAGCCATCCTGGGCTTAACCTGGGTTAAAGCTCACTGGTTTAACCATAGCCACTCCCGATAGAAGCTCAGTACTGCGTCTCGGGGTCCCATCCTGCCCTGTTTAACGGGAGCCACGCCCGGGGCAGGCTCGGGGATCGGTCCCGGGGGTCCCATCTTGCCCGGTTTAATGGGAACCACGCCCGGTGCGGTACCGTGGATCAGCGCCAGGGATCCATCCTGTCCGGTTTAACGGGAGCCACACCCTATGGAAGCTTAGCACTAAGTCCTGGGGGTCCCATCCTGTCCGATTTAACGGGAGCCACGCCCGCTGCGGGCTCGGGGGTCGGTCCCGGGGGAGGCAGAAAGACCCTTCCAGACCTATTTAACAGGAGGTACACTCGGGGCTGGGTCCCGGGAGACACATTTTACTCGGGGTAACGGGAGCCACGCCCGGTGCGGGAGGAGCCCCGGCGCCGAAGGCTCATCCCGGGAGGGCGGGGGGACGGCGACAAGCCCTTGGGAATGGAGTTCAGGGGGGTTGGGGACCAGAGACAACATCGAGACGGGGCCCGGGATGGGGGGAAGAAAA